TGTAAATTAAGACCACCATAGGGTTGTCAGATAGCAATAATTTTCAGCTACTCTTAATATAACTTGGATTTGGATCAGCAACCCAGAGCTGACATTTTATTTTATTTTCCTATCCCCAAGTTACTTATTCCCTTTTATGATTCTAACTCAAGAGCCAGCAAAGATATATTTAATTATGTTTTCATTGTTTTAAGTATGCTTAATGGATAGTTGCTTGTCAGCTGTTTTAACTATTTGTTTGCTAATCAGTGAAGGATTTCATCATTTAAACGCTTCGCTCTCCATTATTCCGCCCTGCGATATTATTAGTCAAGAAAGAAGAAACCACAAAACTGGTTTTGCCTGACTCAACAGCTAAAGGGAATATTTTAGGGTCCTGTTCTAGTCTTCTTTGTCACACAAGTTTCCAAATATAGCCACAGGCTTTGTGGATTACCCCTGTCCATGGGGCGACTGGGGCCTCCTGAGTCTGGGGGGACCACCAGATCACCAACTGGGGGGGGGGGGGGTCCCCCTGTGGCCGACGATCGTTTTGCACTTCCAGTATCACGGCTGGCGTTTCCAGGGGGTGCACAGCCAATCTCAGGCGGTGCACATGCACCCGCATGCACCCCCTACCAATGCCCTGTCTTTTGCTTGAAAGTCTGACCTTCGAGGGGCCTCTCTGAAATTTCTGAGTGAGCTGCTCACTTGATATGATTGACTTACATCGCTTCTCGGTAAACGGGAATCCAGGCCTTTGTGTGCAGAACAGATACAAATCAGTCGTATATTTTGCAGCCATGACCCAGGCATGTAAAAGTGATTTGAGTCCTGTACAGAAAAATTCCAGGTACTGCGAGGTTATGTCCTCACACTTCCTTGTCCATCTCTTGGAACTAGGATGAACTCCAAATGCAAAGTATATGTGGGTCGTTATGTAGTCTTTAAGGAACCGACTAGTTCTTTAGCCTTTGTAATACTGTACTATAAATGATTTAGTGACATTATCTATAGTGGCAAAATCAGAATAATTGAAGGGCAAGAATTGCTTGACAATGGAAGCTCAGCAAATAAGTCACTTAAATTTCATATATACCAGCAGTTAATTTTTTGTATGAAATTTCCAAAAATAATGAGGGGAAAGTGTAATTCCATAAGCTACAGAGGTACAGTTTGTAGTTGTGATAGTCTAAGGATATAGGCAGACAAGTTTCTTTGGGACAATCCAATATCTTTTATTAGACCAACTCCAATGGTTAGAAAAATTCTTCTTTGCAAGCTTTCAGGTATAAATACCCTTTTTGGGGGTGGGGGGGGAATGGGGGGGAGCGTCTGCAGTTGGTCTGGGCTCTTCCTGGATGCAATACTAAAGAAGTCAGAATTTCCATAAGCTAAAAACATTTAACTACAATGTCAATGGTCACATCTAAATCAATGATTCAAAGACACTTCCAACAACAAGGAATCGCTCACAATTTGAACAATTTTACTCCAGCTGTTTTGGCTACAAAGCTGTTCAAAGAAAACTTGCCAAGTACGTCTTACAATTGGAAAAGTTTCATTTCTGCGCACTCCTGGTTTAGCGACCTTCAAATCAAGTTTGTGCAATCACCTTTAAGCTGTCAATGTGACTATTCGCATGCATCATCAGTCCTACCACAAATATCTGCTAAACGAGGTTTTCAGATGCTGAGCAAACTTGATTCAGCTGTTTCTAAAATCAAGAGGGGGCCAGAACTGTCTGTGGAATTAGTGCTCACACCTGGAAAAAATCATTAAAAAAACAAGGGCAGTTTGGTTTTAAGACATAACAAAAATAAAGAGTCAGTTCTTCAGCCAGAACTGTTGTGATTCAGTAATGTGTGTACAACTTCTGAATTTCGTGCTCTTTGAAATCTAAGCAAGTTTGGCATTACTGGCATTAGATGAGCACACGATCAGTCCTTACAGGCGTGTCTATACTGCAGAGCTGGCTAATTAGGGCCATGGTAAACGTTGCACATCTACATGTGCAGTGCAGTTAGGCCGCAGCAGACTAATAAACTCTGCAGCAGGTTAGCACTTGTAAATACAAGTACTTTCCTGTCGCCGAGTTTTTTACTCAGCAGCACCACACAAGCCACGTGGCTCGGCAGCTGCAGGAGGCTCGTGGTGCAAGCAGCTCCTCCACCGACTGACGGATCCACCCAGAGCCCAGGGCTGACCCCAGAGCCTCTGCCAGCCCAGGGCTCACTGCAGAGCCAGCTACTCACCCAAGGCTTGCCTTGGAGCACTGTGCCAGCCTGGGGCTGGCCCTGGAGGCTGCCACCAGCCTGGGCCTCATCCCAGAGTCTGACCACTGCCACCCAGAGCCTGGGACTCCCTGTGGCTGCTGCAGAGGACAGAGCAGGAGCAAGAGCAGCCCTGACCTAAACTGCTCTGCCCTGGCTCAATTTGCTGCTGTCCTGGGTGCACGTGTAGACACTGCACCCGGAAGTAGTTTATGGAGGAGCAAATTTCTCTGCACTTTGAGCCGCATAAATTGCAAGTGTAGATGCGTCCTATTTCAACTAAAGAAGCACCTGCAGTAGCTCCTATCAAAGAAGGAAGAAGAATAATTCTGTGTTACTGTTTCATCATCTGTAAACACCGGCCTAAAAATGCATGCAGTTGTTTTTTTTCTTTATTTAATAACTTTTCCTCAACTGAGCTCAATATTTATCAGCTTCAGTCCTGGATATGATTATGAGAGCTCAGCTCTCAAAGCATCCAATCTTCTAATGTAGTTCTTTATTAAAATAATTGAGGCTTGAAATTAACTTTTAATTGCTCAGAATCTGGTGCCGCCCGCATGCAAAGTGAGTAGCACATTTCCAAGCCTTTTATGGTCTGTTTGTTTGTTTGCCTTTAGCCAACAACTCAGGTTCTAATAACTGAACATTAAATATTGCAGGAAGGGGGAAGGAATTGGCACAGAAGTATTTCAGCTATGGAAAAAAAAAAGAATAAGGACATGTTGTATTTAGTTATTTAGAAAGAGATCTGAATGTGCTGAGATCAAAGGGACAGAGAAATTACCTATGGTATACTGTGGTCTTCAAATCTATTAGGTTCCTCATTCTAGTCTATTCATTTCTGAAGCACTGCAAAAGGCTGGTGCAGGCATATGGTAAGGGAATAGTCAGATCAAGGAAATGTATGCTGCTTGTAGGGCTGGTTAACAGCACGGCATTACACGCGTAGGACTCATCCAGACTGGGGCCCAGTGCAAACCCCCAATGTCAACGTGCTTCCCTGCTGCAAAGGAGCACTTATAATTGATTTCAGCAGTAGATGCTTTCATCTGACACTGGGGCAGAGCATCTAAATAGTACATTGCACCCACGCAGGTCTCACCCTCCCTATAGAGATGCGCATACACAGTCATAGATACAGGCACGCTCATTCCCACAAGGGCTACATTTCTGTGTCGTCTTATTTTTTTTAAGAAATGGTATCATTGCTCATGTTTTAGCAAACACACCGTGTTATGTTCAGCTTTGGAGCTGTGAACAGCATTGTGTTTTCGGTGCACAGATGGCGCCGACTTGTAAAATCACTTATGCTTCCCTGCTGAGTAGTTACTAAACAAGAACAAGGGCATCGAGCACCTTTATTTCTCACCGGGGTTGTGTTGTCCACCTGGCAACTGCAGCAGCCCGGTCTGCTGCGGGAAATGCTCCACCGAGCCCTACCTTTAGGGCAGGAGAAAGCGTGTGTTTCATGACGCTGCACACGCGTGTCTGGTTCCCAGCGCTGCCATTTCTCCTCCAGGGATCATCCCACTTCTCTCAGGCCCCGGATTTGCCGTCCCCATTTCTTGGCACCACTGCAGGGCGGCAAAAGCCAGCAACGAATGGAGGCGTGCTTGCAGGGTGCATGGGGGGCTGTGCATGTGTGTGTCTGATAGACATGGGGGCACTGCGTGTGTGTGAGAGACATGGCATGGGGGGACAGTGTGAGGGTGTCATAGACATGGCGTGGGGGGACAGTGTGAGGGTGTGTGAAAGACATGGCGAGGGGGGACAGTGTGAGTGTGTGTGAGAGACATGGCGTGAGGGGACAGTGTGAGGGTGTGTAACAGACATGGCGTGAGGGGACAGTGTGAGGGTGTGTGAGAGACATGGCGTGAGGGGACAGTGTGAGGGTGTGTGAGAGACATGGCATGAGGGGACAGTGTGAGTGTGTATAAGAGACATGGCGTGAGAGGACAGTGTGAGGGTGTGTAACAGACATGGCGAGGGGGGGCAGTGTGAGGGTGTGTGAGAGACATGGCGTGAGGGGACAGTGTGAGGGTGTGTAACAGACATGGCGTGGGGGGACAGTGTGAGGGTGTTTGCGTGTGTATGCACATATGTGTGTGGTAGACAGAGCATACAGGAGAGAGTGTGTGTGTGTGTGTGTGTGTGTGTGTGTTAGACACGGGGGACTGTGTGTGAGATAAATATAGTATGGGGGACAGTGTGCATTTGTGTGTATGTGTGATAGAAATGGCATGGGGGACAGTGTGGGTGTGCAAATATGTGTGTGGTAGACAGAACATGGGGACAGTGTGTGTGTGTGATAGACATGGGGGACAGCATGCTTACATGTGCTAGGCATGGCATGGGTGTGTGTACGTGTGACAGACATGGTTTTGGTGGGGTGCGTTTGTGTGAGACACGGGGGACAGTGCGTGTGAGAAATATAGGATAGGGGAGTGTGTGTGTGTGTGATAGACATGGTGTGAGGGACAGTGTGGGTGTGTGCACATATGTACAGTTGTGTGGAAGACAGCATGGGGGACAGTGTTTGTGTGATAGACACGGTGTGGGGCAGTGTGTGTGTGTGTGACACGGGGCTGTGGTGGTGCACACTGCGTGTGTGCGTGAGGCACAGGGATGCACACACAGTGGAAGCGCGGTGCACTCTGGGTGTGGACGACCCGTGATGACGCGCTCCCCCTCCCCCATTCCAACGCCACAGAACGGGGCGGGCGAAGCCGCGCGAGAAGTGCACGTTCTCGCGGGATTACAGCGTGGACGGTCGCTCCCCCTCCCGGGCCCGGCGACGCGGGAGGTGAGCTCAGCGGGCAGCACTCCCTCCCCCCCTCGTGCGCATGCGCGGGCCCGTTCCGGTAGCGCGGGGGGAGC